GAAATGTTGTCAAAGACAGAAAAAATTGAAGTAGCTTTCGCAGTAAAAGTACGGGAGGAATTTGCAAATAAAGGAGGGAAAAGAATCCGGAAGTTCTTTCTCTTAAAAGGAAGTTTTGGAATTCATAAAAGAGTGCAGAGCGAGAAATAATGAAGATTATTATTATTTATTTATTTTTTTTTTTTTATTCATGGAAATTCTCTTTTACGTTTTGAAGACAAAAGAATATATTGAAGGGGGATTGACGAACTTCTAATCGAAGTGGGAGAACTTTTTATCGCTTTTTTTTTTTTTTTTTTTTTTTTTTTTTTTTTTTTTTTTTTTTTTTTTTTTTAATCTGTTATGAATGCTCAGCGGTGATTGATTGGATGTTTGAAGAATTTATCCGTTCTTTTAAAGTACTAAACTATTTATTCTTCAGAAAAATTGAGGTTAATTAAATATGGATGAGCATATGGAGATCAATAATTGATTAATGAGGTTTGGAGATGTAAAAAAATATCAGATTTCTTTATAATTTGAGGAAAGGTGCTTTGGTGATGTATAAACATAATATTCTCCTAATTCGTATTGAAGAATCGTGGTGAGTACAAGGAAAGGACACATAATTCTTCATACAAAAAAAATTAAACTTGAGTACTTTTATAATAATTTATTTATGCATAAATATGTTCCCAAAATATAAATTAAATTTTCCATGAATTTATTTCTTATTGATTGAGATTTTGAAATCGCTCTTGATTTTGAAAAATAAATGAAATTTTCTAAAGATAATATTACACGAATATTACAGGAAACGCAATAAAATTCCAAAAAATTCGAAGTTTAAATTTCTGGAAGTTTGTAGGAATCCGTTGATTTATGTTACAATATAAATTTAATGTATTTTTCAGATTTCAAAAGAAGTTTTTCACTGTTCATTTGAAATGTTGAAAGAGGATCATTTACCTCAGCAATTTATTGTAACAAAAGAACTCTTCTCATTTTCCCCAAGTAACTTTGATATCAAATGAAGTTTCTTTAAACTTTTTATAATTAAATAGCTTCAAGGAAACTTTAGTATATGCTTATCTAAAAATTCGTTAACATACCTTAGAAAAATAAGAGCTTCTCCAAAAATAATGGATGGGTATACCGATTTTTTTGATGACACTAGAATGGCAGGTAATACTTTTTAATTTTGGGGAAACTAAATTACCAAAGTTAGCAAAAAATTCCTTTACCTACTTTATATTTGACAAAGAGACATCGTTTGAAAGATATTCCCAAGAATATTTTCCACCATTCAGTGAAAGATGAAGTCATAAACGTTTTATTTTAATAGAATAAAAACATTATTCTTTCCAATTGAAGGCACTTACTTTGGCACTCTGTGCCACAGGTTTCGGTTTCGGGTCCCGGCTGGTGCCATGAATGTTTAGAATGGTTTGGAATCCAATTTAAAACCGTAGGTCTAATTCTAATATCACTGTAGAGGGTTGGCCGTAGAGCTGACAACCCTAATAACCCTAAAAATAAAACTGAACTAAGTTAAATGAATAAATGACTATTAATAATATTAATGACTAAAGTTATTGGATAATCCACGCTTCATGATAACATTTTTATTGTTTTGGAACCATATAGATATATGCTTTAGATAAAAATAATAATCTGATAAACCTGATACTACTTATTGAGTCTGCTACTAATTTCTCTAATTTTGTTGGTTTTGTTTTCGATAAATTTAAAGTTATTTTTTATGAATACATTTTAATACATGGTGAGAAACGTAGACAAATGAGACAGAGGATCCTAAATGGCATACTCCGGGATTTGAAATGAACTGGCTCGCTGAATCTTTCACTGTTAATAAATATTACCGCACGCAGTGTCTAATATACCAACAAAAACTTCACAATCAATCCAAACTTCTGTACAGAAATCATCGAAGTACTTTCACAGATTCCTAAGTCCACCTAATCAAATCAAATCACCCCCCTATTCAAATCCTCTCTCTGGCAATCCCTCCGCCATGAATCTGCATGTCTTTCTGCGTCTCACATTCTGACGAATGCTTCCCAAATGCATCATTTATGGCGACCTTCGCAAAGTGAAAGCGAAGCTGCTTCGGCCGGGGATGTCTGATTGGCCGGATCACCTGCACCTCTGGGGAATCGGTTGGCAGTGAATGCGTCGGGACATGCTTTGGCTATCCTTGTAAACGACAGCAAATATAATTGTGGCGGTGACAATTGTCGCAATTCCTGCAATTGTGTAACAGAGATGTGCATGGACTCCTAATTAGGAGACGTAATTAGTTTCGATAGAGTTGTTACGTGGGTATTAGTTTTAATTTGGACCCACAACGTTTAGATGCAGTGCAGATTTACAAGTGACTGTTTAGCATGTTGTTTGGCCTGATTAGCTATTCATGATCCTTTTCGCTTAAATGCGAGTTGCTAAATTGACTAAATTAAAATTTCGTTACTGTTATTATGATTAAAAAAATTGTGAAAAATTGCTCTTGATTGCTAAAATGAATTGAAAATTAAAGAGACTGCTATCATTTAACTTGATAGGTTAGCTAGGTTGATAAATTGACTACATTAAAGGTTTACGAAAACTGAGAAAAAAATTGCTGTTAGCCAAATTAAGTAAATTTTCATAAAAATTTAGTCTATATATGTAATTACTTTTACTAAAAAATATAGAGTATGTTATGAAAATTAAAGAAGCTTCTACCATTTAACGTGATAGGAAACGTAGTACAAAACATGCTTTAAAAGCGTCTGAAGATTATGCAAGTTGAAAATACATGAAAAAATTTCGGCATATACAGGTCTTACACATATGAATATTACAACATTTCACTGAAGTATCAATGGTAAGCAATTGGGTGAATAACAGCCGGCCGGAATCAAACCTATGTTACAAGATGATTGAATGTGAGGTCTTATGAATGTATTTCTAAGAAATGTATTAGTTTCTGGTAAGCCGAGGAAGTATATAGTGCTACTATTGCTGCAAATAACTTCTATTTACAGTTAACTGCCAAGAGACACACATCTAGGATCAGTGTATTTCTAAAAACAGAATTGAATTTTATTATTATGGGCGAGGGTGACTCCATTTCCATAGGTAACAGCAATCTGTAGTTAGTTGCAAGGAGGCACATAACAGCTACATTAGCATATCATGAGTGCATTATGGACAATTCTATTATTAATTCATTCTATTACTTTACAATCCAGGAATATATATTAACTTTATTTTAAATGGGAAACAAATCGAAGCAGACACACTGTTTTGATATTTTCAAATTTTAATTGCTGCCGGTAATTATCTAATAGTTACCGTCCTTCTAGTTACCTTTATTTTTCTTATATATTTCTTAGATTTTCTTCATATCTTCATCCTCCCCGTCTCACAGCTCTTCTAGAGAGATTCAAGCGCCTTCTAGTTCACATTGAACACCCGACACAAGTTAGATAGAAAAAAAAATGGTTAAAATTTGAATTGTTACAGACAGATGTCATAATGCAAGAAGCTATTGCAGAAAGAAAATAAAAATAAATAAATCGAAAAAAATATTAAACTGATAGATTTATCACAGGAGAATAAATATTGTTTATTCAACTTGCACTCTTATATTCTTGAATATTTTGCTTCGCAATAAAATCCAACAAAATTATTTTGTTTACCTTATTTCCTTCGTTTCTCACACTCTTCCTACATTTTACAGAGAATATTGTGCTGTAAAAGAATACAATTTCTGTATACTGTGTATTCAAAAGATTGTGTAAATTCCGCGAGATAAAAATATTTCAATATTATCTTTTTAAATAAAAAAATGCAACGTTGACCGCTAGACACAACGTTTATCATAATAGCAAATGCAATTTCAAGTAAAATACTTTAAAGTAGATAGATTTTTCCGGGTTTATCATCATGGCAGTTTGAGTTTTACTTCACTTGGATTACTGCAATGGAGAAAAAAGATCTCGGAAAATTTAAGCGTTTTCTTTGTCCAGGAAATATATTCTAAACATATTTCCTTTCAAAATGAAAGGAGGAATTTGATCTCGAAGCAATTTGTTTTGCAATAGTGTGCAATGGCAAAATAAAAACTTTTAAAGCAGAAAGTTTATCTTTTTTTTACATATTTGCAGCAGTAAAAGTTTATGTTGTATTAAAAAAACCCCAAAGTATTTTATACCAATAATAAAACATTTAAATAGAAAGTAGAGTCTCAAAAATTACGTAAAAAAAATGTGAATTTTTGAATCTATTCGATGTCTTCTTGTCAAAAAATGGATAACATTTTAAAATGAGCAATTTTATTAAATTCGATCTTTGTCGGAAACCTGTTTTAGGTGGATTTATATAAGATATAATACAGAATAAATTAATATTTCAAATATTTGTAATAGGGAAGACTTTATACTGCTTTAATAAAAACTAATTTATAACGAAATATTTAAAAGTTGATTTCGATGAAACATCTATAAAACTGACTGAGGGAGCGCGGTTAATATGGTACGCTAATTTAAGAGGTTTAAGCTTTTAGAGTAACGACCAAGATTCACTGGTTATTTCACTGTCTGTTGTCCTGGGAACGAAACATGACGATGGAACTATTTGCAGATTCTATTGTTTTCTTTATTACTTCAGAATAAAAAAAAAGAGATGATTTCAAGTTCTGATTTTTAAATGGGATTAATTCTGTTTGTTGTTGTTGTTTCTTATCCCACTTGGCTGGCCAAGCCCACGAGCCCATACGTACTCATGATTAAAAGGGAGGGAAGTAGCTTCTGTTGTGATGGAGCACCCATAGGTAGAAGTCTGACTTTGGCTCCGTGACGCTCTTACAGTCATAGGAGACCGGGACCTACGGCTTAAAGTGGATTCCGAACCACTACAAACATCCATGGCACCGCCGGGATTCGAACCCGGAACCTGCGGAACCGAGCGCCAGAGCACTAGACACTCGGCCATTCAGGTCCCAAATTTGTGAATGCCAGCGGCACACGGTGTTCCCAGGAGGTCACCCACCCAAGTACTGACCGCGCCCAATGATGCTTGACTTCGGTGGTAAATAAAAACAAGTAATATAATTTTTTTTTTTAAATCAATTCCTAATTTTTTTTTCACTATATTGCAGAAGTCTTTAATAAATATAAATAAATAATTTTAAATAATTTTCATTCATTCAGTTTATATGCCGCCATCTATTGGTAGATATATGCAACTTAAATCTAAAGACAAACTAAAATTAATAAATTAAATTTAATGAATGAATTAGTATTTGAAAAAACTGTATTAACATCCAGAGTCATCCACTACAAGTTCAAAAAAAATGTATTTGAACTTGAGTGGATGAATAAAAAGTATTTTATGAGCGATTGAAAATTTGAACAAGATATATATAGGGAGAGTGTGAGTTAATAGAAGGAATTGAATTATTTAATAAAAACATAAATGAAAGCAGATGATTTTTTTGCTTATCTTTAAGAAGCTTTTATTTTATTGCTAATTTGCTTCTAAAAATTATAATTTTATTTAATAAAAGAATAATTAAAATTTTTTATTTTTGTGTTTTTTATTATGTAATGGATAAGAAAACAATCAATAGAGAAAAATAATGGAATCAAAGAATAATTATCTTTGATCTTTCTAATTTATTTTATATGAAACTATTTTTATTAACTTTTTCTAAATGTTAAAAAAAATGCTGCTGAAAGCAGACATCAAACATAAAATTCAAAAGTGAAGTTTTAATTTAGTTAATTGCAGTTTCTGTTAAACAAAAATATAATAAATGACAATTTTTCCATGTATTTTAATTGCGTATCAAATTAAAAAAAATAAATTATTATTCGTAGAATAAATTGTATTGATAACAATAAACTACCACTCACAGTTTTTGATTATATTTTCAAAAAAATAGTTATGTAATTCAGTATTTTTATTGTTTTATTTTCCATTTAATCCCAATAATTTATATCTGAGTTTACCACATTTTCGAAAGGTTTCGAAATGATTGATAAGGGAGCTGTTATCTATATACAAATAAATTTTAAAAACGATAAATCATAAGCATTATTTAACAAAAGAAAATGCTTTTAAAAGTTTCTGAAATTTTTATTGATTGTGACAAAAATATTTATTCGAGCAATCATAGAAAGTAGTTTAAAGATAAGTAATTTTTAGAAAAGCAATGCTGTTTTCTTTTATTTTTCTTTCAATTTTTATATTGCGAAAAACTCAAACTAATTTAGGATGAAGAATTTAGTTATCCTTCCGAACTTTGCTCGTCTTCCTTCGTAAAAGACAGAAAATGGATTTCAATTACTTCGTTTTCCGAAGAGAAAAGAAGAAGAAAAACATTAAAAATTGCTTTGACCAGAATTTCTGACATTTAAACTTCCTTGAAAAAACTTAGTTCGGAAACAACCGTCGCTAAAAAAAACTATAATTACTGTTTTACGTCACTTTTTTTTCCACAAATTTCTTTTATCGGCGGTAATTACCAAACTCAAACACAGATTGCAGTTTTCGACACTTCGAACAAAACCCACTCTTTTGTTAATTTTCTTTTTCGATTGTTAGAAAAAAGATGGAATGAAAAAGAAAAGTATTTCTTTCTGTCAAAATATTAAAGAGTACTCGGTCATAAATTAAAGATTTACTTTAGCTTCTCAGTTAATTAGTAAAGGTTTTGATACAAACTTATTTCCTTACTAAATAAGGTTGGCAGGAGCAAGGTTTGTTGATTAGAGAAAATGACTCATTTCTTTACTATAAAACAAGGACATATATTAACGTATTAATTATTAATAATAATTTCTGCAAATTTAAAAGAAACTACTATTAAGTAAATAAAAATTTTGATCAAGTAGTGTGCATACATCGTTTTTTTTTTTTTTTTTTTTTGTCACTGGATATTTTAATTTTAGACCATGTGACATTACGATGACAATATGCATGACGAAAGACCTACTATATAACATTTACATTACTACTTCAAACGATCACTTTCCAAAGGCATGCCAAAGAAGAAGAATTAGAAGTAAACCGTATGTTCAAAGCAAATGTTATTCAAATAAGTAATAGAAATAAATAAGATTGTAATAAATAAGAGAAAAGTTTCAGTGATTTTTTTCTCTGCATTTTAAGATATTTTTAATTAAAATGGAACTTGAATTATCATTAAATATTGTTGTTTGCTTTTAGCAAGACGTTTTTTTTTCCATAAACAAATTTTTAAAAAATCACTTTCAAGTGTGACATGAAATAAATGCTCAAAGGATTTAATACATTTTTTTCTTCATTTTTAACCAAACAAAAAAATCATTAAAAATTAAATTTCTGAAAGCTAAATTTATTAAACATTAAAAAGAATCCAACGTAATTATCATAGATGTTCCGAAAGCATTTAAATACTTTCAGCGAACAGTTGATTCACGTAATATAATTATAAAGACTTAAAAAAAAATAGAAATACAAAAAAATCATTTCAAAATTAAATTCCACCTCTTGATATAAATATAAAAATATAATACTTTCGAAGTTTAGATTCTTATTTGTGAACGAGTTTTAATCTGATAAAATATCCCAGCAACAGACTTTTCAATTTCTTTAATTGGATTTTTTCGCTCTTGCATTACTGTTGCTAGCGATCTCCACTTTGTGAAAGTTCTGGATGTTTATCAAATAGAAGAACTTCGCCAATTTATGTACTGTACATACTTTCTTCGCCAACGGCTATTTTAAAGTCCGTTTTATTTTTTTCCATCACTTCCTTTTTTTCAAGATTAAATCCAAAGATTCTGTCGGGACTCATCAAATAATTAAGTTTCTTTACGGCATCCCGTTTGTTTACTTTTTATCTCACAAATGTTAATTTAGTACATTCAATTAGTTTTGTGATGTTTACATGCGATTTCATGCGCGACTTCGCAACTTATTCATGATCGGATTAGTGGTGGTTTTCAAATATCAGAATATAAGTTTTATAAATGGAAGAAAAAAATTTGTTTATTTTAATATGCGTAAATTAATGAAACTTTTCTATTTGGTAATAAAAATTGTCAGTGTGGTGCAGTGGGCATAACGTTATGTTTACAATTTACGGCTTTTTTTGGGGGGAGGACTGGAATCTCCAACATTTGCGTGCCTTGTTGTAAAAGGCTCTCATCATGCAGTTCCGTCTGTCGATGTGAGACGTATGATCACCATACTCTCCAGATTATGATCGCTACTACTTAGTGTAATATTATCACGAATGCTGTCCAGATTATGATCACCAATAACTATTACTCATCAGATCATGATTATTATTACCAGAATATGATCACTAAGAACCAGATTACTATCATCCCTATTTACTGGAACACGACCACTATTACTTACCACAATATGATCATCACTACTCACCAGATTAAGATCACCACTAATAAAATGTTTAACACTACTTCCAAAATTATGACTGCCACAAATTAATTACCAACCTAAAATCCCAATTACTCACCAAACAATAACCATAACCATTCACAAAATTGTGATCACTAGTATTCACCAGATCATGTTATTATAAATTATATAGACGATTATTACTACTAGACTATAATCATTCTTACTAAGATCCAGTTTGTGATCACTACTATTTTACCAGAACATACATAGGGGTGGGGGAGGGGGGGGGTAGTATCTGTGATGTTTTGTTTTCATTCTGATCACTTTATGCACCGGGTAACGGGCCCCTAATTGTATGACTTTTTTTTATTTGATATATTATTTTACTTTATATTACATTATATTATTTACATTATCTATATTATATCATTTATCATTATATTATATCAGTTATATTATATTATATTATTACATTTATCTTTGTATTTATATTATTACATTTATCTTTGTATTTATATTATTTACTTTATCTTATATTACTTTACTTACTTTTCTTCTGGATTATTTTCTTGTTAATTAATTCTTTTCCTTTTTGCAAAATTGTTCTTTGCTCTCATTTATCTTCGATAAATTTTAAAAATATTTAGCTTTTTCATTTTAATCACTTTTTGAAATTATTATGTGGAGGTTTTTGAGGGAAAAAAAGGAAGCGATTGCCTTGCATTTATAGATCAGCTGATCTATGTACTTCAGCATGTCATATAGGTCCTCTTGGGTAAATTTTTATAAATATTTATCCCGTATTTCATTTATGAAATATATACTATGTCCAAAAAATAAGGCCGATTTTCAATTTAAAATTCCCAGGGCTTATGAAGTTTCAATTTTTTTTCTTTGTTGATAAAAAAAAAAATTGAAATTTGCGTAAAATTTGACGTCAAAATATCCATTATAGTGTTTGAGTTACACTTGGCTTTGTGAGACGCTAAAACTGATTCCGGCGATTTTTGAAATGTCTGAATTCATTGAGCAAAGAACTATTACTCATCAGATCATGATTATTATTACCAGAATTCAATTTTGTTTGCGGAAACGTATAGAATGTTGCAGAAAGCATTCGGTGAGCATTCCTATATCGGAAAGAAATGTTTAGAAGTGGTATAAACAGTTCAGAGAAGACAGAGAACGCGTTGAAGACGAAGAGCCCTCTAGTCGATCCTCAACCTCAACCGACGAAGCTCGCGTCCAAAAAATTAAAGATTAGGTGTTTGCAAACCGTCGATTTACAATTAGAGACCTTGCTGCTGATATTGTAATTTCAAAAGGATCGGTCAATTCCATTTTGGCCCTCAAACGCGTCAAATCTTGATTGGTACAGAAAACACTGAATGCGCCAGCTCACACTGCATAGATTCTTCGTGACTGTTTTGCCAAAAATGAAACCCATGTCGTTCCACAACCACCGTACTCACACAGTGTGACTTCTGGCTAACTCAAAAGACCACTCCGGGGACACCGTTTTGAGTCGATTGAATAGATTCAACTTGAATCGCTTTTGAAGGCCATCCCTGTCAATGTCTTTTTAGCATACATTGAGGATTGGAAAAAAAGGTTGGCATACGTCCAGTGTGGATTATTCCGGAGGGGATTACTATGTAGGCGCTGAAATAAATGTGA